GGCGGGGGGGCGGGCTAAGCGACCGGCACTTCCTGCCGCCGCCATTTTGTCAAGTGAGGAGGAGGAGAAGGAAGCGGCTGCCCGGGGATCTGCGGTGCGCGCCCGACCCGGGTGAGTCTGGGCCCAGGATGGTGGCCGCGGGTAGCGCCGGATCCATTGGCTGCGAGTCCGTGTCGGAGCGGCCTGGGCCACGCTTGGGCGCCGGGCTCGTGCGCTCTGCCCTTCCGCCACCTGGTTCCTTCTGCAGGCAGTGGGGCAGCGAGCTCCTGCTTCCATCGGTTCACCTACCGGTTATCCCTGAAGCTCTGCCTAGGATCCAGGTCCTGGCCTGAGGGTGGGGGCTGCCGTAGGACGCTTGTCGGGAAGCCGGACCTAGGGGACAGAAGGGGTGACCGGCGGAGCCTTCTTGACCCACCCACTCGCAGCCTGGAAGCCCCCTCTTTGGATGCTTTGTTTTGCCGGGTCTGTGCTCACTGGCGTCGGTGCAGCAAGCCCCTTTCTTTTGCGGTGTTGTGTGTGTCGGTTTAGGGTGGGGATGTGGGGGAGTTGTGATTCAGCGAAATAAAATGACACCCCCACCCCATCCCACCCCCCGCGCTGTGCGCGCACACTCACGGAAATAGCACAACTTCACCGTGATGCCCCCAAGGCCGGGCCTTAGTTGGAGATGGGAAAACCCACTTTTGTGTAGTGGACTGTGTGAATACTTAGGCACAAGCCAGTGGTTGAGTCATGTGCTTCTGCCGAGAGTCTGATCTCCCTTTTACCAAGACAAGACTTTTCTTTTTAACTTGTTGTTTACTTGTTTTATGCTTTGTGCAGCCTGGTGAGATTTATCTTCTCGGTCCTTGGATTCACTTCCATATGTGTGTGTTATGTTGGGTGCCAGTGACCTCTTAGAGACTGCTTCGTGAGAATTGAAATTGTATTTGCTTACCTTCGAAGGAACACTACTAGTCCTTGGTCACACAGATAAAAGGCAGTGTACCTCTAAGCCTGTGTGCCAGTGGTTGGGAAATTTTTATGAATGGAGCTGTCAAGTTTTCTAAATTGTTAATCTGTGGACTTGGTAGACTTTGGAAGTTGTAAAGAAAGTGATGCTCAAAAGTCAAAAGGATTTATGAATGTTTTTAGTTTCCAGAAGGCTTTGGATGGCACAATCTGTTTTCTGACCTTGCCAATAATTTATATTCATTTGGATAGGGATTATCTTTGCACTGAAGGCATTTGTAGATAACCAACCCTTTTCTTTCAAAAGCTTCCATCAGGGAGGATGGAAGATATGCATGTGAAATAGATAACATTGATCAGATCTAGAAGGAAAAGTCTGATCTAGTACAAAATATCTTGCTACCCTTTGGTAGGCAACAGAGTATCTAAAGACTAAAGCTGGAGTCTCTTAAAATGGTCCATACCTGGAAACCCACCCCTTTCTATCTTGCTAGTATTCTGCACATGCAAATTACTAAATGTAAGAATGCCTGTTGATGAAAGCTAGTATGCAAAAGTGTCATGGAATAGTTTGGATATTTTGAATATCTGTATGTCTTGTTTGGAGGGCAGCAAGGAAAAAATTGTAGCCAAAACTTGCAGGAGAATCTTAGGCCATTTAGTAAAATTTCCACTAAATTATTGAATTGTTTAAAGGAATTTAGACTTTGTTTCCAAAAGTTGTCTTTTGGAGCCAGTTTTTGTGATCTTTGAACTAACTCACACTTGCTTTTAGAGGTGGGCGAGAATGCTGTATTTTCAAGTTACATAATTCAGGTTACTGAATGACTTGAGTTACAAATTCTATACATTGGAGGTTTTTAATACTTTTTTTTTTTTTTTTGTCTTTTTGAGACAGACCCAAAAGTTGTCTTTTGGAGCCAGTTTTTGTGATCTTTGAACTAACTCACACTTGCTTTTAGAGGTGGGCGAGAATGCTGTATTTTCAAGTTACATAATTCAGGTTACTGAATGACTTGAGTTACAAATTCTATACATTGGAGGTTTTTAATACTTTTTTTTTTTTTTTTGTCTTTTTGAGACAGACAATGCTGTATTTTCAAGTTACAT